TCCCCAGGGACCTACCCTCCCAAGCCTGTCCCTGATGTTCACACTCATGGGGGCCCCTCGGAGTCCCCACTCACCCTGCTTCACGGTGGACGACAGGCAGAGCTTGCCAGCCCGGATCTGGTCGATGGCGGTCTGCAGGCCTGAGGACAGCAGCTCGGCCACCTTCAGGTAAAGCACCAGCTGCTCTGCAAAGCTAGAGGGTGGCAGGCACGTCAGGCAGCTGGGGGGGTCCCCATAGCCCAGGTCACCTCCCTCCCACCAGCCCGCTGGGCACACCCACCCCCACTCGCGGCTCAGCAGGCTGATCTGGTCGGCCACCACACTCTCCTGGAGCTGGTACTCGGGGCCCCTGGCTGCCTCACTGGCGCTGCCCTTGAGGGTGGCAATCTCCAAGACGTGCTGGACAAACACGAGTGTGAAACGCAGGCCATGCAGGATCTCCGTGTGTTCTTGCTGTGGGGGTCAGATCAGAGTGCTCAAGGGGGCGCTGGCGCCAGAGACCAGATCCACAGAGGCCTCTGCTTGTCCCCCTTCCCACCTGAGAGCCCACATCGGACAACCTGGGACAACCAAGGTGCATGTGCTCCAGCCAAGTGATGCCCTAGCTCCCCTCACCTCCATGAGCGTCTCCTCGGGGAGATCAGGGGCCTCGAAGGTCACAGCCCCCTCCAGGTTGGCAGCAACAGTGTCAGCAAAGCTGCAGCAGTGGCCAGGGGCCAGGACCTCAGGGGCAGCCTCACTGCAGGCCCCAGACACCAGGTGGCGGGCGGAGGCAGAGCCGGCGGAGCTGAGGGAGCTTGAGGAGCCCACTGTGAGGAAACACCCCGATTCAGAACAAGCTCCCACTTCCCTATGAGCCCCTCCATCCCCTCGATGACTCCATGACACCAAACCCTGGTGCCAACCTCTCCAGACTGGCTGGGCCTGTGTTTATACTCCTGTCCCCTTGAGCAGAGCCCATGGTGAAGGCCTCGCCCCTCCCGGCCCCCACCTGCTATAGGTGGAACCTTAAACGCAGAGGCTGGGCTGTCTGGGCCTGTGTGGCCTGCACTGGCCTGGAGAGGCCCCAAGCCAAGGACTCCAGACCCTACCAGGATGGCCATCCCAGGGCAGTTGGATACAGAGGCCAGTGTCCTGGCAGCCACCATTATCCTGCCTGTGACAGGTCCTCACCTGAGAACATCCTAGTGCGTAGGCTCTGGGGTGGCGTAGCCCCACTGGGGGGCGAGCCCACAGTGAACACCACAGGGGAAGGGCTGCTGGCCCCCCCAGTGCGGGCGCCTGGCTGCAGGGTCCCTCCAAAGCCAGCAGAGGGCGCTGTGAGAGGGAGAGGAGGAGCTCAGGCCCGTCCCCCACAGACCCCACGCCCCCTCC